CAATGAAAAGATCTTTAATTTGTTCTGGATAATGCGACATCTGCCTTAAATGACAAAGGTGAATATAGTGGGTTGGTTCAGTGCTGCCTGGAAATTTAATCACATGGAGAAGAAAATACTGAGTACCCTTAAATTCACCTTGAGTACACATATTAGTATTTGTCATTGTCTAGACAGACGGTGATCTGCAAGGTAAAGTCTGGGAAAAATAAACTTACAGATATTAAATTCAGCTGCATTTCCCAGTAGTAATAAAGTGAGAAGATTGAGGGGGTTAACATTCATAGCAGCCGACAAAACAGGTGCCAGCAGTTTTGTTTGGAACTTGCTCCCCTTTTAAGAAGTGTATCTTTTTAGACATTTCATATAAAAAACCACCAAAGTCTGTAGAACCTGAAAAGCTACCACAAAATAAAATCTGATGATAAGATGAATATTTGTCTGGGTATGTGTAACGCAGTGAATCACGTTTTTCTTCTTTCCTCTTGAAGGACTCTAGTTTAGAGTCTTTTATGAGACCAAAATCTTGCAGTGTATCATCAGCGTGTGGCTACTGTTGTTCACAGGAATACAAAAAATAGCAGTGGGGCGCATTGTTGATCAGCTGGTGATCACTGAGCTTCAGCACAGCAGCATTGCTGGTCGTCTTGCGCTAAAATTGCCTAAGTTCTCCTTCTCATCAGGCCTGGAAGATGATTCGCTGTAGAACAACTGTAATCTAAACAAAGTTCAAACGTAGGGCATATGAACAGAGAAAAGATGGCTATTGCCTCGGTTTTACAGTCAAACCTGAGTTAAGGTATTCCAAAAGATCTAAGAGAACTAGTCGCTGTGCTCTCCTTCAATGTCATGCTCTTTGCCCTGCTGTAGTACTTCAGGACTATGAAATACAGAGGTATTAGAGTGATGAAAGGCTGGAAATGTGGATAAAAGTAGGAGTCTGCAAGTTTTTCAAGAGTCCTTGTGTTTCAGAAATGTGCAGAGCATGCCTGCTGGTGTGGGCAGTGCCTGTGAGGCTGAGTGCAGGGTGGGCTGAAGCATGGTGACACAAACTACATCTTTCCATGCTACTTGCCGTGGGGACGGAGCAGCCATGCAGCTGTGGGGACAGCCTGAATGGTGGGGCTCACCCTCTTGCTGTGGAAGACTCCGGGCCATTCTCGGGAGCACCTTCCAGTGAACTGGCATTAAAGCCTGCCAGGATTTCAAGCCCTATGATTGCCGCACGTTAATTTTTAGCTGGTTCCCTAATGAATGAAGTATTAAGCAGTTCATCTTGTCAGCCTGACAGTTTCCACCAATAACTTTTGAACTCACTGACCAGTTTCCAAATAAATTTGAACAGAGGGACCAAAGATTCAATTATACCAAGTTTAGATGAGTTTGGTGAAAGTAGGCGATGGGTGGAAAGAGACACTGCTGGGATCTCCATGGAGAGAAAGCCTGACATACGATGTCTATTTTCAGTTTTTATATCATCGCAAATGATCTTTATAGTATTTTAATAGTTTTTTATATTGTTCCATTATTAGACCCCAAAGAATTCACAAGGGAGAGGGGCAGAGGAAGCCGGGTCCCAGCTTCACCATTCTTGCCATGCAAAGCAATGGTTTTAATCAAGTAGGTAGAAGTTCTGAACGATTTTTTAGAATTAAATTAACCTCCAAGAATAAGTGTGGAAAAACGTAAATCCACTCTGTGCAATGACAGGAGGGAGGGAGGAGGCTGTCTGGAGTTTGGGACACCATATTCCCAGGGTGAAGGTGTGATCAGTCTTGGAGGGGAGTAACCATATGCTGCCTGAGGGGGTGTGGGTGGCCAAGAAAAACCCACTGGCAGCGTTAAACGGATCTACTTAGAAAAACTTTAAGCTTCTTGCTGCATAATGAGGTTTTCTTCTCTTTCTGGAATAGGGCTTCTGAGAGACCAACCATGTAAAAATACGGAAGCACTCCCTTGGTGCCTGCTGAGGACCTTTGGAGAAAGCATTAGTTTTACAGGAAAGAGCAAATCACATGCTTTATCACAGGGTCGGGTGAGATCAGGGAACGCAGAAGGACAACCTGGGGGGGAGGCTGAGTGCTGTCTGTTGGCAGAAAGTTATCTCATCTCTGCTGAATGGAGAGTCTGCAGCCTCACCAAGCAGCCGAAGCCACCGAAACCCGTCTGCTGTGTGCCGTGGAGCAGTGCTCTCTGCCTCCTGCAGCCAGGGCTGGGGGCTGGCGCTGTGGGTGCTCGAGCTCACAGCCACACTGCAGGAAGGCCACAGACAGGTTTTTGAGTGGGCTTCTCATGGCAAATCATGGTTATGGAGAATGGTTTCATCTTGCTGATGGTAAACCTTTCTTCCTTACATTCGGCAGTACTGCTGTGTGTAAAGGTGTGAACGTGGTAATTTAACAAAGTCGGGCAAACCTCCTCTGCTCCCGAAAGCCAGGCTCCAGAGGGCACGGGGAGGGAGCAGGGTTAAGCTGTACATGAGACAGTATCTTTGAAGGAGCAGTTTCTGGAAGTTTGCAAGAGGAGGCTGGTGCACAACAAGAGTTTTAGTGTCATTGCAATGAAGAGCTCAGTGAGCGCCTTGTCCAAGTGCTTCAGTTAAGTTAGAGCTTGTCAAGTCACACCAGAACCCCCTGTTAAATTAGCTGTGCAACTATTATTAACTAATGAGCTATAAAATAAAAATAAAACCAGAACATACCTCACCTGAAGTGGAGGGGAAAAATTCCTAGTGGTGGGTTGTTGTGTTGGCCAAGAGGAGGAGAGGAGAGCAGGTTACTGGCAGCCCGATAGCCTGCTGGGTGACGCTCCTTAGGTGAGCTTTGTGTGTTTCACTGCACAGATCTATTGCTCCCCGTAATTTCAGTGACATGATGGTGGTCTGTGCAGGTGACCCTGCGCTCTGCCACGAATCCCCCATCAGCAAGGAGCAGCCATACCTGCTGTGCTGGCTGAGGCGTTCCTCTGGGTCACTGCCTCTGTGCACCAAGCACCCCAAGGCAAAGGGGCCCCCAGCCCACCCCCAGGCTGCACCAGTGGGAGAGGGAAAGTGAGAAGCAACCCCCCAGTGCAGACAGCATCCCCTGCCTTGACGGGGCTGGTGCTTTCTCTAACCCATCTGTACAAAGAGGAACAGCTTTGGGTTTTCATTTCTCCAGGGGTGGCTGTTGGCAGGCAAGTGGGGCCTCTGGGAAATTCAGTCCTTCTTGGTGGGGTGCTTTAGTGCATAAAGGCGCAGTAAGGTCAGGGCAGGATTACAGTCTGGCCTGACGTTTTCTCCTTCGCACATATGAAGACCAATAAGTATCAATGGTTCCAGTGGAGTAAACCAGCAAGACATCAGCAATTTACTTTTTATTTTAACTCACTTTGGCCACGGTCTGTTTGTTCATCCCATATTTCACCTACCCCAAGGCCGAACACTCCTTTTTTCTCCTGTCCTCTCCTGCCCTCCTCCAGCCTTTTCTTCAAGCGTGGGGTGTCAGTGGGTCTCCAGTCACACCATTTACACAGGTACCACCTTGTCCTACAACCCCTGGCCTCTCAGACAGGGAATCCAGTTCTTCTCTGTGAGGAACCGGGGAAGTCCAGAGGCAATGAAGGTGAACCACCCCTTCTCCCCCTGACAGTATTGCTGCTTTTGCTGTCAGCTTGGAGAGCCCTGCCCCAAGGGATCCTGCTCTGCCCAGGGCCATTGCTGGCTGGGCTGGGATCATGGTTTCTTCCCGTCTTTGCTGTGAATTCGGCAGAGGAAATGTGGATGTTTGGCAAACAGCTTTTCATGACACCCAGTGTTTAGACTATCCACAGACATTAGGTTGGTCACAGCTGTTCAGGTGGCAGCTGTTACTCATTGCTGTAGGTGCCTGACTCCAATGTAAGGTTGGGATGCCACCAGCTCACCTTGCTGGTGCCAGGGGAGAGGCTGCAGACAGAGGGAGAGCAGCATGTCGTTGCCTTTCCACTCCTCACCTGATGTTTGGGGCGGGAGAAGTCCTCACCTGCCAGTCCCCGCCATGTCCTGGCAGGGAGGCAAAGGGGTGAGGTGCCACAGGTGTTTGCTATCTTCTCTAGAAGCAAAAAGGAGCTGGATGCCCAGTTGCCGTATGGCTTTGGCCTTTGCTTAACAGTTTCTACCAGGTACAGAAAGCCATGAGCAAAGAGGATGCTTTTGTACTGTGGTTTGTATTATTTATGACTATCTGTCTTTAGAAGAGCAAATAGATCGAGCAACCCCTGGTAACAGAAGACTTAAACCACGTCACTGATGATACAGTTGCTAAATGATGTGAAGTTTGAATCTTGACATAACTGGTTTTGAAAAATAAAAACCACTCATCTGAGACAAGCCCTCCAAGGCAGTTTTGGTTCCTCGGTTACTGGCTGGAAACAGAAGGAATGAGCTCAGGGTGAAAAGCTGGCCAAAGACCTTCCTGGCTTGCCCTGTGCTGTGAAGAGACTATCTGTGCCTCAGGAACTGCTTGTCATACAGGAGATCGTCTCGTGCTGCTCACAGAAATCAAATAAACCAACAAGGAAGGCAAAGGATGCTTGAGGCATTCAGATTGCTGTCTGCAGGGCCACAAAGGCCATGTTCTGCTGCCCCAGGGTGTTTCTAGTATATCAGGCCTTTGGATGACTTTCTGGATGTGCCACATGGTACACAGCCAATTCAAGCCAAAGCATCTGGAGACTGCAACTGTCTGGTATGAGAACAGCTAGGACTGATCCTAAATGTTCACAGAATCACAGAATAGCTGAGGTTTCAGTCCACCTTGCTGTCCACTTAGCAAGCCCATACTCCATCAGCTGATCTGTGAGGATGTTATGGAAGACACTGCTGAAAGCCTGCTAAAGTCAAGATAAAAAACATCCACTGCTCTTCCCTCATCCACCAAGCCACTCATATATTTGTTGAAGTCTATCAGGTTGGCTAAGCACAATTTCCCCTTCACAAATCCATGCTGACTGCTCCTAATCCCTTTTTAGTTTTTCATGTGTTAGCAAACAGTTTCCAGGATGATTTTCTCCATCACCTTCACAGATTTTGAGGTGGGGCTGGCTGGCCTGTAGTTCCCCAGATCTTCCTTCTTGCTCTCCTTGAAAACAGGAATGATATTGCTGCTTCCAGTCTTCAGGAAACTCTCCCAATCACCATGACCTGTCAAAGATTATTGAGAGTGGCCTCACAATGACACCTGCCAGCTCCCTCCCCAGCACTAATGGGTGCATCCCCTCAGGGCCCAGGGACTTACGTATGTCAAGTTTGTTAAAGTGCTCCCTAACCTGGTTCTCCTCCATCGATGGCGAGTCCTCCATGCTCCAGGAGGTGAATAAAGTTGGTGAAGTTTACCTTGTGAAAGACAAAACCCTCATAGTGCATGGGGACTGCAGCAGCTCAGGGAGAAAGGAGCACTGTATTGAGTTAAATCCAGCCTTGCATAAGAGCCAGGTCTAAATTGTTTAGAGTGTTCAGATGTGCAATCTTAATACCCTGTTCATGTTCTGCTTTGATTACTGATTGCATTTATTTTTACTCTGACACCAGCAGACTTCTTTCATTTTTTCTTCTTAAATAAACTGTGCCACCTTCCCATCCTCCTCTGCCTCTCCTGCGTCCCCACACCAGTCACCAGTCACTACCCTGCCACATAAAGCCTGTTCCTGGTACAGACAAGCCATATCCCTGCTGAGATCCACCACAGGGGCCACCTCTACATTTTGCTTGCAATAAAACAGAACATATTAGATGGTCCCATTCTAACTCCTTGGCAATAATTACTTAAAAAGCCTCAAATGACCACATTTTGAGGGGAAGCGGAACAAAATTTCTAGGAATACTAGACCCATGGATTAGTAAACCTTCCAAAGGCCAGGAGGAAAGAAAAGCTTTATACAGTTACTCAGAGTGTATCCCCTAAAGCTCCTCAGCTGGAGTTGTTTCTACCACCAGTAGTTTGACACACTTGTTTTGTTTAAAAATATAGAGAATGCATTTAGGACCATATTTTAGAAAATAGTCCATAACCTTGCAGTTTATATTAAAAAGTGTATAGCCTCAGTCTGCCAAAGGGCAGGGGCTTTGTACCAGGGGTTGAAAATGAAAACATCTGACTGTACTCAATCTGATCTGCAATTATTTTCACATGCAAATATAGAGGTCCCAGGGAGAGGAAGGCCAGAAGAAATAGGGCCGAGTATGTGCCCAGGGCTGGAAGGATGTGGATCAAATCCCTGTTCTACCTTCTCATCTCCCCATTGGTATGACTGATACAGAAGCATTTCCCTTTCTCACAATGATATTCACATCTGGAATATTGTGTCCAGTTCTGGGCCCCACAGTTCAAGAAGGACAGGGAACTCCTTGAGAGAGTCCAGCACAGAGCCACCAAGATGATGAAGGGAGTGGAGCATCTCCCTTATGAGGAAAAGCTGAGGGAGCTGGGTCTCTTTAGCTTGGAGAAGAGGAGACTGAGGGGTGAACTCATTAATGTTTACAAATATGTTAAGGGCGAATGTCATGAGGATGGAGCCAGGCTCTTCTCAGTGATGCCCAATGGTAGGACAAGGGGCAATGGGTGTAAGCTGGAACACAGGAGGTTCTGCTTTAACTTGAGAAGAAACTTCTTTACAGTGAGGGTGACAGAGCACTGGGACAGGCTGCCCGGGGAGGTTGTGGAGTCTCCTTCTCTGGAGACATTCAAAACCCGCCTGGATGCCTTCCTGTGTGATCTCATTTAGGTTCCTGCTCTGGCAGGGGGATTGGACTAGATGATCTTTTGAGGTTCCTTCCAATCCCTAATATTCTGTGATTCTGTGATATTCTGAGGATAAATACACTAAAAAGTGGAAGGGTCCAGCTGCTGCCTTGTATTATTAAGATAGCTCCTCCTGATTATATGTCTAGATTTCATCTTTTAATGCTGCATGAGGTCAAAAAAGCCCCATGAAACTGTGTTTCTGTAAGGTACAGTCTGGTTAACGCATCGTTCTGAGCAATGTTGCTGTGGTTCTCTGATAGCCTCAGAAGAGCCTTAATATATACAAATATTTGCTTCAGAGCAAGCACAGGGATTACTCCCAAAGAATTGCTCCTTAAATATTTAGGCCAGTGCTTTCAGAGCTAAGACCTTGGGAAAGCAGCGAGTGTAGACAATCTGCCATGCAGGGATATTTGCGTAAGCTGTGGCAATAGCTGCAGCCATCTGAAACACTGATAAGCCAGAACAAAACATTTTGCCTGTGTAATCATCCACATCCTGACCTCCTTGCATCTCTGCTGCCCTCCTAATATTTTATGGCAGCTGTGCCCTGCAGAAAAACCTTTTCTGCAGCAGAGAACAAGGTTACAGTTACCTATGGGTGGATCCTCACATATCAGTTGGTGTTTCTTCATGAAGCCATCCTGAATAACCTCTGTTCCCTATATTTCCTTAAAATTGCAGAGGATAATGCATCTAGTGCCATCTCTCACCTCTGATTCTTATCACTGCCTAGTTGGGAACAACGCCTTAGAGCTGGTTAAAAGAGACTTAAAGCAGCAACATATACGTGTTTCCTTTCACACATCCCAAATATGTTGCAAAAAGTCACTTTTGCAAAGATCAGAGCTGGGATTTTTATCTTCATATTTTGAGCCAAACGAATATAAATTTGCCACTATATTGCCCCACTGTCCTGATTGTACCAAAAGTGGAGGTAGTTGCTGCCAGCACAGAAGTTACTGCGAGAAGATGGAAAGGTCAAACTGACCTTGGCAGCTTGTAAATCTGGAAAGCTTTCTTGTGTTTAGCCTTAGCAAAATCATGAAGTCTTAGGCTCATCCTTGAGCCTGAGATGTGTTCCTCTTGGAAACGTATTGGTTGCAATGAATGTTGCGTGAACAGGGGCAGAGGTCCCCCCAAACTGCTGGGTGCACTGGATTACGAGCACAGGAGCTGCAGGAAGGCATGGTCCTGCTGTGGCAGGTTGCTGCTGAGTGGAGCTGAGCTCACAGGAGTAGCTTCATTCTGGAAAGCTTTTGGTTCAGACTTAAAGGCAAACCAACAAAAAGCTCCCTGCTTCTGAGGCAGGAAGATAGGTTTGGTAGTAATTGTCTTTTAGGGAGATTTGGTAGTCATAGTCCTTTAGGAAGCCCGTGGAACTCAGTAACTGGATGCTACTCATCTTCAAACGCTTGAAGAAATAGTTGATCTGCAGGAAAGAAAATCAGACATGGAGAAAACAATGCTAACAGTTGGGATTGGGATGGTGAAGCCATGGAACAGGTTTTGGGATTGGTCATCAAATCCCCTTTGCTGGAAGTTTTTAAAGACAGAGGAAAGGGGTTGGTGGGTGTAAAGGGACCTGATGGTACTTTGGTGTGGGAACAATGTCTGAGGAACCTCCCAGCCGCACATCTGTATGGTACCTTTGCTGAAAAGCGATGCTAGCAGGAGTGCAGCAGAGAGGTAAGGAATTAGAGGAGAGGTGAGATGAGACAGAGCAAGGTGGTGGTGGGCAGGGTCCGAGTCCTGCATGGTGTCTTGCTGGTGCGACCGGTTTGGCAGTTGCAGAGGAATCTCCACTATAGGACGCGCAGCCCTGGGGGACCTGTCTGTCCCTTGTCCTGCAGCTGCACCCCTCAAAGCACAAGCGCTTATGGCTCCTATTGGTTTCCCTTTTTCTGTCCTAGAGGTGGAGGTTGTTATTACCCTTGATCAAACTTTCCTTCTCCAAGTTACTGATCTGAAGAATCACCATAAAACACACAAAGTTTGGTATTAGCACGGGAGTAACTCACAGACTAAATAAAAGCTTGGTGAACTGACCTTCACATACAACAGCATGCTGCTACTTTGTGATCTACATTTAGATTTTTCCACATAAAACAAATCACTACACATCCCCTGTTTTGCAAATTGCAATAAACATTTTGAAACACTCTGTAAATATAATTTGTTCTTGTCTCGTAAATGTCTCTGAACTCCACCCTTTGCAATGAGAGTGGTTTCCCTAGTAACTAATATACTCCAAAGCCTTTTAAAAAGAGGGAATCTAAAAAGACGAATGATAAGACTGAACCTGATTGATGGACACAAGGTACACCACAGTCAGAGGTACTGTGAAGTTTTTATCACTGCTCGTTTCATAATACTGTCCTCCCAGACTCATCCCAATAAAAGGTTTATTTCGCCTCGGACCGCCTGGGCATGGCTTGCTCCACAGGCGGGGCAGGACATGGTTAGATCCATCAGCTGGGCAGCCTGTGGAGCTGAGCCTCTCTACTGTCATGTTGGTTTAATGACCCAGCCATGAAATGTGGCTCCAGACAAGACATGCCTCATCTCTTCCCTGCAGAGGTGGCAGTGAGGACGTGTGTCTGTGCCTCCCTCAGTGGGGTGAGGGCCAGCAGCCCCTGAAACCCAGTCCAGAGAGCAGCAGAGGTTAGTCATGCAGGGAAGTCATGCAGATGTAAATTATGGAAAAAGATAAAGGAATCTTTGCCAAAGGTCTCTGAGCTGGTCACTAAATTCAGGTAAGAAAATTCATATTTGGCACCCTACTTTTTAAAACAAATGTAGGGAACTGACAGCTCCTCCTGAAATATAGCTTTCAGTAGTTGTCAGAAAAGGGGGTGATGCTGAAGGATTCGTTAGTCTGCAATGAACGAAATGAAAAGTGGCTGGAAAAAGCAGCAAGGCATCTTGAACGTATAAGTGTATGGAACTCGGATACTGGTGGATTAAAAATTGGACATGAGCTGGCAGTGTGCACTTGCAGCCCAGAAAGTCCATTGAATCCTGGGCTGCATCAAAAGCAGTGTGGCCAGCAGGCTGAGGGAGGCAATGGTTCCCCTCTACTCTGCTCTGGTGAGACCCAACCTGGAGTACTGTGTCAGCTCTGGCATCCCCAGCACAAGAAAGACATGGACCTGTTAGAGAGGGTCCAGGGGAGGGCCACAAAAATGGTCAGAGGGCTGGAGCACCTCTCCTATGAAGAAAGGCTGAGACATTTGGGGTTGTTCAGCCTGGAGAAGAGCAGGCTTTGGGGACACCTTGTTGCAGGGGACTTATAAGAAAGACAGAGAAAGACTTTTTACCAAGGCCCATAGTGGTAGGACAAGGGGCAATGGTTTTAAACTGAAAGAGGGCACGTTTAAATTGGAGTTATGGAGGAAATTTTTTAATGAAGGTGGTCAGACACTGGAACAGGTTGCCCAGAGAAGCTGTGGATGCCTCCTCCCTGGAACTGTTCTAGGTCAGGTTCCATGGGGCTTTGAGCAACTGGATCTAGTGAAGGATATACCTGCCCATGGCACAGGGGTTGGATTAGATTATTTTTGAAGGTCCCCTCCAACCCAAACCACTCTGTGATGATTTTATACAATATGATTGCAGGGTAGGTATAGTGGAGGGATTTAGATCACTGCCCGAAGAAGCTGGAAGAGTGCAGAGAGTCGCACATGACAGTTGTGGTCCCTGAGGTCATCCATCTGCATCTTCCACAGTCCTACATGCTTGAACAAACTGAGTATCAAGGGGGACTGAGATGTTACCAAACCAGACCGGCAGCGAGGCACTCGGTGAGAGAGCTGATACCTTTTATTAGATCAATGAAATAGTGGGGGAAAACATATCGGTTAAAAAAAAGATCAAAGACAAGTCTTCAGGTATGAAAGCCCCTCCTGAGGTCTGCAAGAGGGAGTTGGTGTGGCAGCGCTTTCACATCTGTGTTGCAACAGTGATGGGGAATCAAGCCCTTTGCCAGAGGAGGAGGGACAGAGGACATTTAAACTTGGTCACCGTAATGGGTACAAATTGAAAACCATGTCATCACTGCAGTAGTTGAGACCCACACGGTGCCCTCCCTCACCCCACAGAGGTGCCAGGAGCTGGTGATGGTGTTGTGTCCTGCTGGCCATGGG